CAGGAAGTCAACACAGCAGGTCTTTGGTAATTACGATGACTCAGTTTGGCTACTTTGTAGTTTCAAGCTGATTTTACTGTAGCCTCCAGTGGGCTGATGTTGGGGTTTCAGGTGATGACTGCACAATTGTCTTGACCACAACAATGCCTTTTGTATTGCAACTGCTGTAAAAAAATATAAGTGAATGGTGATGTGACACGGTGTACTTTCTCAGAGATGTGCGTCAAACATTTTTATTGTGATATTGCTTGGAAATTTACAACAAATTATAGAATTTTGAGGTTTGACACCTTTTTTAATAGTGGGCTATATAGTGCCACTGGCATAGGTTTTGTCCTACTTGAAATGTAATATGCTTATTAGAACCCATTAGCCATTTTCACTTTTAATAAAGAGCTAACTTGTAATTTTTTGGTTCAACACTGACCTCTCTCTTCTCTCTTCAGGGTACAGTGTTTAGCCTGGAGGAGGAGCAAGGCGTGATCATAACCGAGGACAGCAACGACATCTACATCCTGTCTGGAGAGCAGCTTCCTGGCCAGCTCAGTCCCCCCGCATCGCTGCTGGGCACCGGAGACAGCAGTGGGCCGGGCAGCTGGCAAACGGAGAGCTTACCCGTGTCTCTGGCAGGCAACGATTCCTGGGCACAGGTGAGCATGATGGACCACCCCGAAGACGTCAAGAGTCTGGACAGCAACGAGGGCGCCCTGGCTGAGGAGCGCAGTGAGAACAACTCCTCCAACTCTGACATCGTGCATGTGGAGCGAGAGGACGCAGAGGAGGGTGAGGGCGGGGCAGAGTTGCAGGAGAGCATGCTGAGCGTGCTGGGGACGGAGAGCGAGCTGGCTGAGCTGAGGGCGGAGTTTAGGGATGACACTCCGCCTCCTGTCCTAGCAGCCCCAGAGCCTGTGGTGGTATATCTTGAGGAGCCGGTCATCATAGAGACGCCTGCTCCCCTGTCGGCGGTTCGGTCAGAGCCGCGTGCCCCATCCCCTGTCCCAGTGTCAGAGCCCCCTGCTCCAGCCCGTATGGTTGAGCCTGCCCCTGTTGTGGAGGCAGCACCCCCATACCCCGCCAAGGCGCCCTCTACTCCCCCACCAGCAGAGCCAGTTCCAGAACCAGAGCCCGTTCCAGAACCAGTCGCAGCACCACCCCAACCAGAGCCCGTTCCAGAGCCAGATCCAGAGGAGCCCCAGCCTGAACCTCAGTCAGAGACTGTGCTGGAGCTGGCTGCAGCGCCCATCCTGGAGGCACTCCCAGCCCCTGTGGAGGCCCCTGTGGCCCCTGCCGAGGAGCCCCCGGTGCAGACGGAACCAGAGCCCAAGTCAGAGATCCCAGTGCTGCTGTATGGTGGAGCCGCTCTGGTGGCCCTAGCTGCTGTGGTGGCCTGGGGAGTCATGACCTACCGGAAGAAGTAGCCTAGCAGGAAGAACCGGGCCCCAGACCTCCCCTCCTCCCTGGTCCCTGCCTGGTTCACTGCTGGTAATCGGGGCTGCTATGCTGCCACCACCAGGTGGACACACCATGTGAACAATTACTTATTTTCCCTCTCTCCATTTTTGTTTTCCCCGTTCTCATCTCTGCTCATCTGGCGTTTTGAGATGTTTGTCTTCAGTTGTACATTGCTGCCTCCAACCCATCAACTCTCAAACTGGAAAGGACATTTGTATTATTTTTTTCTCACGGTTTCTCTGTTGTTTTCCAGGTGCTTGGTTCTGTTCTGTGCCATCCGGATGCACGTCACAGATACACCCTGTATGTTACCCTCTCGGCTGGAGCTTGGGGTACCTCTTTGTCCTTAGAGCCTAGTGGGTGTAGCGCAGAAGAGTCAGAATTCCCTGTTCTGTTGCAAAGAAGGGAAGGGAAAAGGGTAGCTATTCCAATATTCATATAGAAAAATCTAAGTTCTGACCACATTATGTCCTCTGAAAAGCAAACCTTTCTTCAAGGATTAGATGGGCATGGTTTTTTTATTTTTACGGTAATTAACTGATCATGATTAGACTTTTGATTCGTTTTTAGAATTACAGTATGTATGTGATATAAGAATATAAGATTCACTGTACTGGAGACCCTGATGTGCCTATAAAAGTATGTCTGCAGAATTGAGCCCCATAAAGGGACAATATTGTTCATAAAGCACTTGATTGGGATTAATAATATCACACTAAAATGTGAAATAGATACACTACATGACCAAAGGTATGTGGACACCTGCTCATCGAACATCTCATTCCAAAATCATGGGCATTAATATGGAGTTGGTCCCCTCTTTGCTGCTATAACAGCCTCCACTCTTCTGGGAAGGCTTTCCACTAGATGTTGGAACATTGCTGTGGGGACTTGCTTCCATTCAGCCACGAGCATTAGTGAGGATGGGCACCGATGTTGGGCGATTAGGCCTGACTTGCAGTCTGCGTTCCAATTCATCCCAAAGGCGTTCGATGGGGTTGAGGTCAGGGCTCTGTGCAGGCCAGTCAAGTTCTTCCACACCGATCTCGACAAACCATTTCTGTATGGACCTCGCTTTGTGCACGGGGCATTGTCATGCTAAAACAGGAAAGGGCCTTCCCCGAACTGTTGCCACAAAGTTGGAAGCACAGAATCGTATAGAATGTCATTGTATGTTGTAGCATTAAGATCTCCCTTCACTGGAACTAAGGGGCCAAGCCCGAACCATGAAATACAGCCCCAGACCATTATTCCTCCTCCACCAAACTTTACAGTTGGCACTATGCATTGGGGCAGGTAGCGTTCTCCTGGCATCCGCCAAACCCAGATTTGTCTGTCGGGACTGCCAGATGGTGATGCGTGATTCATCGCTTCAGAGTCCAATGGCGGCGAGCTTTACACCACTCCAGCAGACGCTTAGCCTTGCGCATGGTGATCTTAGGCTTGTGTGCTGCTGCTCGGCCATGGAAACCCATTTCATGAAGCTCCTGACAAACTGTTCTTGTGCTGACGTTGCTTCCAGAGGCAGTTTGGAACTCGTTAGTGAGTGTTGCAACCGAGGACAGACGATTTTTACACGCTGCGCGCTTCATCACTCGGCGGTCAGGTTCCGTGAGCTTGTGTGGCCTACCGCTTCGCAGCTGAGCCGTTGTTGCTCCTAGACGTTACCACTTCACAAGAACAGCACTTCTAGTTGACTGGGGCAGCTCTAGCAGGGTAGAAATTTGACTTACTGACTTGTTGGAAAGGTGGCATCCTATGAAGGTGCCACTTTGAAAGTCACTGAGCTCTTCAGTAAGGCCGTTCTACTGCCAATGTTTGTCTATGGAGATTGCATGGGTGTGTGCTTGGTTTTATACACCTGTCAGTAACGGGTGTGGCTGAAATAGCTGAATCCACTCATTTGAAGGGGTGTCCACATACTTTTGTGTGTGTATATAGTGTATGTTTATCTACTTTTTTTCTTTCCTTTATTAAATGCTGATCGCCGGTCACTTACTACACCACCTGATGATAAATGTTATTTTGGGAAGTTTTGGGAAATTGAGGGCTTCCACTTTAAGATGTGAATAGGATGCCATGACTCAAAGGCCAACTACTCTTCACAATGAATATATCAGTTACTAATTTCAGTCATTTAGTAAACAGACTCCTGTGTCTCTTATCGCTTTAGATAGTTATGATTTGTGGTCATATTGCAGTAGTATAATGACTGCAATGAAATTGTTTTTTAATGGGGAAAAGAAAAGAAAGGGGGACAAGATCACCGCAGTTCACAGCCGGAGTGCCGTTTGATTACTAACCATCTCCTTGAAAATAGATGTTTAGATTATCTGCTATAAAACTGTCAATGGTCACTATCAACCTTGTGTGTGTTAACTATTGTGTGTTTGCGTGAGTGAAAACATCAACCACTCCTAAAGCCAGCTTAACCATGACAGCACCATGGTCAATCCTGTTCCATGTACTGTGCTCTGACGACAGGGGATGGAGGGCTGGGAATGACTGCACCAAGACACTGAATTTCATATTAATTTGTTCAACACAAGTTGTGTCCAAGAGAGATACAAGGTTTAAGATTGAAATATCAAACATGAAAGACATGACTACTTGATTTCATCTGACACTGTGAGCCTATTAAAATCAAAAGGAAAATGAGTTTTGTCTTGAATCAATTTATGCTCTCATTCCCAACTCCCCCAGTCTATCAGTAACTAACTTCACAGGGACTGCCTTTCTTCAGCTACCCTGTCCTCAGCCCTCTGTTGTGCCAGGTGCCGCTTGTCCCCTCTGCTGGCCAAAACTGCCCACCCAGCACTGCCTTGCCATTCCGCTGTAACCCCATAGCGTGCCTACCTTGTACAGTATAGATTTACAAAGCTTAACATGCCAGCCCTGCCACAGACAATCAAGAGGCAACATGCTAACAACATTCCCACTAAGGGAAACATATCTTCCTCTGTTAGTTGCCGTACAATGTGAATCCAAAAATAAAATATACACTGTAGACCTCAGGTGTCGAGTACAAAAATAAAAATTTTTTTACAGGGCACTCAAGTCTGGAGCGTGAAATGTGAACACTTGATCCAAGTGAAAATGTAGTAGTGGAGTTCTGTTAAACTGGAAACTGGTTGTCCAGCTTTGTGTTCACTGGTTAGTGGATTCCCACAGCTTACTTGGTCAATATCAGAACTGTAAAGATGCACACAACTCACTACACACTGCTGCTTAGCCAAGTGTAAATACAACCATGTGTGGTCTGGGGTGGTAAACAACAGCAAGTTGTGTGGGTAAGAAGATGTGTGGGTGAGACAAATGGTTTTGTTCCTCGTTCCATTGAAAGCAAATGTACAAGGATGCTTTCATGTATGCAAACTAGCTGAAAGAATGTACAAAGGGAAACTAAGTATTTGGAAAGTACAGTACGGCTGTAAAATCCCCAATTTAGCACTTTACCTATATGTACAGTTTGAGACCAGAATACATCATTTAAACTGCATCGTTGTGGTTTTGTACACATGAACAAGTTAATAAAATGGTTCTTCCTTACATAATTGTATTACTCTTACATTTATTTTAATTTAAATGTATATCCCTGCATCATCATCATAGGATATCTATGCATACAACAAACCAAAAGGCATTTAACAAAACTAACATGGTCTTTAAAACAAAAAGTGGATTTATCCCTTTTGAGGAAGCCATGTATTGTTACAAAACTGTTTTGGGAAAAAAAAGTATTAAAAAAAATAAACTTCAAGCACAATGTATGTGGAAGTGAAAACAGCAGACGATGCATGACACTTCTCTATCCCTTTGCAGTATCAGAGCTGGTAAAATAAAGCACTCAAGTTTCCAAATCCAGTGGCAAACACTTTCAGAATCACATCTTTTCAAAAAAATAATTTGAATGTTCTATATTTACTGAGTAGCTTGTTAAGAAAATGAATGTGCCCCTGAACTAAACGGCACACTCACTATTGATTGGTAATCAAGCATCCGTCCAGAGTGGAGAGTCCGTAGAGTTTGGGGTCTGTTTTGAAGTCACCTGGCCACGGTAGGGTTTATGAACTGAACTGCTGTGTTGAACAGGTTACGGAGCAGCAGGGGGGCGTGCTCACACACCCCCTTCACCAGGGTCAGCGTGAGGGCCATGATCACCTTCTCCTGGGGTAGATGGTCCAGCACAGGGCCCAGGCCCTGCTTCTTCACCCACTCCACTTCCAGGGCTAGGTGGTGCTTCCACAGCTGAGGAACACACACAGGCATCAGACCTTTGACATACTTATGGATTGATCTTATACCCATTACTAGATAATACTTTATAACCCCTGTGGTTTCAATTCACAGCAGGAACACCATGATTTACATACATTTCTAGACATAGACATTCTATATATACACTGAACAAAAATCTAAACTTAACATGCAACAATTAACGGTTTTACAGAGTTATAGTTCATATAAGGGAATCAGTCAATTGAAATGAATTAATTAGGCCCTAATATATGGATTTCACATGAGTGGGCAAGGGAGCAGCCACCCACTGGAGAGTCCAGGCCCAGCCAATGAGTTTCCCCCCCACAAAAGTGCTTTATTACAGACAGAAATACTCCTCAGTTTCATCAGCTCTCTAGGTGGCTGGTCTCAGACTATCCCAAGAAGAAGCCGGATGTGGAGGTCCTGGACTGACGTGGTCTATGGTTGTGAGGCCGGTTGGACGTACTGCCAAATTCTCTAAAACGATGTTGGAGGAGGCTTATGGTAGAGAAATTAACATTCAATGCTCTGGTGCACATTCCTGCAGTCAGCATGCCAATTGCACGCTCCCTCAAAACTTGAGACATCTGTGGCATTGTGTTGTGTGACAAACTGCACATTTTAGAGAGGCCTTTTATTATCCCCAGCACAAGGTGCACCTGTGTAATGATCATGCTGTTTAGTATTTATTTAGTATTTATTAGGATCCCTATTAGCCGCTGCAAAAGCATCAGCTACTCTTCCTGGGGTCCACATGAAACATGACATAATACAGAACATTATTAGTCAAGGACTGAAATACATCAATTTAAAATGTCACACATAGCCTACACATTAGTACATACACACAATATCTAGGTCTAATACATAATACAGTGCAAATTACAATACAATATATATAAAATGGCTGTGTCTCTTCACAGCCCCTTTGTGGGGTAAGGTGTTCTGTTATGTTTTTTTAAAATGTGTTTTATTGCTAGCTTGAGTTACCTGTGGTGGCAGAGTTCCATGTAGTCATGGCTCTATTTAATACATTTACATTTTAGTCATTTAGCAGACGCTCTTATCCAGAGCGACTTACAGTTAGTGAGTGCATACATTTTCATACTGGCCCCCCTGGCCCCCCGTGGGAATCGAACCCACAACCCTGGCGTTGCAAGCGCCATGCTCTACCAACTGAGCTACAACTGCGTTTCCCAGCCTCTGTTCTGGACCTGGGGACTGTGAACAGAACTCTGGTTGCATGTTTTTTGTTGTACCGATGAGTGTTCGAACTGTGTGCCAACTGCTTGAACAGACAGTTCGGTATCTTCAACACATCAATACCTCGCACAAAGACCAATAGTGATCCAGTCAATTTCTCCTCAACTTTGAGCCAGGAGAGACTTATGCATGTTACTGACACTTTCCCTCTGTGTACATCTAAGTGCGATACGTGCTGCTTTGTTCTGGACGAACTGCAATTTACCTATGTCCTTCTTTGCCGCACATGACCACACAGCTGGGCAGTAGTCCAGGTGCGACAAAACTAGGGCCTGTAGGACCTGTCTGGTCGACTGAGATGTCAAGAAGGCAGAGCAACGCCCTATCATGGACAGACCTTTTCCCATTTAACAACCATTGAGTCTATATGTTTTAACCATGAAAGCATGCTATCTAGGGTTACACCCAGCAGTTTAGTCTCCTCAACTTGCTCAACAACCACATTATTCAATAATAGATCTAAACGAGGTTTAGCATTGAGCGAGTGATTTGTCCCAAAAATAATGCTTTTAGTTTTTGAGTTATTTAGCACCAGCCTATTGCTAGTTACCCATTCTAAAAGTGACTGGAGCTCTATGTTATTTATTTGACTGTTGAGTCGACAGCGTACATACACACACAGGCTTTATTCAAGGTCAGTGGAAGGTGATTTGTAAAAACAGAAAACAATAATGCCCCTAGCCGGCTGCCCTGCAATACACCACACTCAACTGAATTTGCATGAGAGGCGCTTCCATTAACGAAAACCCTCTGTGTTCTATTAGATTTGTAACTTTCAATCAATCCATAATAAGGCAGAGGATGCAAATCCATGACACATACATTTTTTCAGCAATAGGTTATGATCAATTACATTAAAAGCTGCACTGAAGTCTAACAAAACAGCTCCCACAATCTTCTTACTATCAATTTCTTTCAGCCAATCATCAGTAGTTTGTGTCAGTGCTGAGAATTATGCACCCTTCCCTATACGCATGCTGAAAGTTTATTGTTAATTTGTTTTCTGTAAAATAACTTTGTATTTGATCAAACCATTTTTTCCAAAAGTTTGCTAAGCACTTCTAAAAGGCTGATTGGTCGGCTGTTTGAACCATTAAAGGGTGCTCTGCTATTCTTGGGTAGTGAAATGACCTTTGCCTCCCTCCATGTCTGAGGGCACACACCGTCTTCTAGGCTTAAATTGAAGATGTGGCAGACAGGAGTCACAATGTATTCCGCTACCATCCTCAGCAATTTACCATCCAGGTTGTCGGTACCGGGTGGTTTGTCCTTATAGATAGCAACAATTATTTCACCTCTTCCACACCCACTTTGTGGAACTCAAAACTACAGTGGTTGTCTTTCATTATCTGGTAGATTATGCATGAATTTGGCGCTTGTAATGCCAGGGTAGTGGGTTCGATTCCCGGGACCACCCATACCTAAACATGTATGCACGCATGACTGTAAGTCGCTTTGGATAAAAGCGTCTGCTAAATGGCATATTATTATTATTATTATTATGATGAAGGCTCAGCATTTGTTTTTTGCATGTCATACACTAAGGGAAAAAAGTATTTGATCCCCTGCTGATTTTGTACGTTTGGCCCTCTGACAAAGAAATGATCAGTCTATAATTTTAATGGTAGGTTTATTTGAACAGTGAGAGACAGAATAACAACAAAAATATCCAGAAAAACGCATGTCAAAAATGTTATAAATTGATTTGCATTTTAATGAGGGAAATAATTATTTGACCCCCTCTCAATCAGAAAGATTTCTGGCTCCCAGGTGTCTTTTATACAGGTAACGAGCTGAGATTAGGAGCACACTCTTAAAGGGAGTTCTCCTAATCTCAGCTTGTTACCTGTATAAAAGACACCTGTCCACAGAAGCAATCAATCAATCAGATTCCAAACTCTCCACCATGGCCAAGACCAAAGAGCTCTCCAAGGATGTCAGAGACAAGATTGTAGACCTACACAAGGCTGGAATGGGCAACAAGACCATCGCCAAGCAGCTTGGTGAGAAGGTGACAACAGTTGGTGCGATTATTCGCAAATGGAAGAAACACAAAAGAACTGTCAATCTCCCTCGGCCTGGGGCTCCATGCAAGATCTCACCTCGTGGAGTTGCAATGATCATGAGAATGGTGAGGAATCAGCCCAGAACTACACGGGAGGATCTTGTCAATGATCTCAAGGCAGCTGGGACCATAGTCACCAAGAAAACAATTGGTAACACACTACGCCATGAAGGACTGAAATCCTGCAGCGCCCGCAAGGTCCCCCTGCTCAAGAAAGCACATATACATGCCCGTCTGAAGTTAGCCAATGAACATCTGAATGATTCAGAGGAGAACTGGGTGAAAGTGTTGTGGTCAGATGAGACCAAAATGGAGCTCTTTGGCATTAACTCAACTCGCCGTATTTGGAGGAGGAGGAATGCTGCCTATGACCCCAAGAACACCATCCCCACCGTCAAACATGGAGGTGGAAACATTATGCTTTGGGGGTGTTTTTCTGCTAAGGGGACAGGACAACTTCACCGCATCAAAGGGTCGATGGACGGGGCCATATACCGTCAAATCTTGGGTGAGAACCTCCTTCCCTCAGCCAGGGCATTGAAAATGGGTCGTGGATGGGTATTCCAGCATGACAATGACCCAAAACACACGGCCAAGGCAACAAAGGAGTGGCTCAAGAAGAGGCACATTAAGGTCCTGGAGTGGCCTAGCCAGTATCCAGACCTTAATCCCATAGAAAATGTGTGGAGGGAGCTGAAGGTTTGAGTTGCCAAACGTCAGCCTCGAAACCTTAATGACTTGGAGAAGATCTGCAAAGAGGAGTGGGACAAAATACCTCCTGACATGTGTGCAACCCTAGTGGCCAACTACAAGAAACGTCTGACCTCTGTGATTGCCAACAAGGGTTTTGCCACCAAGTACTGAGTCATGTTTTGCAGAGGGGTCAAATACTTATTTCCCTCATTAAAATGCAAATCAAAAATATAACATTTTTGACATGCGTTTTCCTGGATTTTTTTGTTGTTATTCTGTCTCTCACTGTTCAAATAAACCTACCATTAAAATTATAGACTGATCATGTCTTTGTCAGTGGGCAAACGTACAAAATCAGCAGGGGATCAAATACTTTTTTCCCTCACTGTACCTAAGTATGCTAATCTTGTCAACAAAAAAGTTATTAAAGTGGTTGGCAATATCAAAGGGTTTTGTTATGAACAAGCCATCTGCCTCAATGAAGGATGGAGTCGAGTTTGCTTTCTTGCCTAGAATTTCATTTAAAGTACTCCAGAGCTTCTTACTATCATTCTTTATATAATTTTTCTTTGTTCCACAGTATAGTTTCTTATTTTTGTTTAGTTACGTGATTTCTCAATTCACTGTATGTTTTCCAGTCTGCTGTTTTGTCAGACTTACTTGCTATTCCCTTTGCCTCATCCCTCTCAACCATACCATTTTTCAATTAATAATCTATCCAGGGGGATTTGCCAGCTTCTTGATAGGCCACACCTGTCAGGTGGATGGATTATCTTGGCAAAGGAGAAATGCTCACTAACAGGGATGTAAACAAATTTGTGCACAAAATGTGAGAGAAATAAGCTTTTTGTGCATATGGACAAATTCTGGGATCTTTTATCTTCAGCTCATGAATCATTGGACCAACACTTTACATGTTGCACTTATATATTTGTTCAGTATAGTTCTGAGCAATCCAAGTAACCAGGATTCCAGAAACCTACCCCAATGGAATACTTCTGCAGTTTCTTGGTCAGATTCTCAGCAGCCTGGGCCACCACATTACGCTCAAGCTGATCAGCTATTTCAATCAGCCCTGCAGCGACACCTCTCAGGGCTTCTTCTTCGGCAGGGTTATCTGGAGGGCAAAGAACATGTTAGTCAAAATCATATTGAATATGAACAGTTATAAAGTATCCACATTTTGATATACAACACAGTATAATTTTCAATCACTTTCACAACAACGGTTCAATGCAGGTGTGCCAGATCCCTGTCACATAGTACAGTAAAGCTGAGATGTTCAGCAGTACATATACTGCCCCTTTTCTAATATCCATTTCATATACAGACAAAAATCCCACTATTTTACCATGCCAGCTTTTTTATACAGTACCAGTCAAAGGTTTGGACACACCTACTCATTCAAGGGTTTTTCTTAATTTCAAAAAAATAATTACATTGTAGAATAATAGTGAAGACATCAAAACTATGAAATAACACATATGGAATCATAGTAACAAAGTGTTTAAAAATCAAATATATTTTATATTTGAGATTCTTCAAATAGCCACCCTTTGCCTTGATGACAGCTTTGCACACGCTTTACATTCTCTCAACCAGCTTCACCTGGAATGCTTTTCCAACAGTCTTGAAGGAGTTCCCACATATGCTGAGCACTTGTTGTCTGCTTTTCCTTCACTCTGCCGTCCGACTCATCCCAAACCATCTCAATTTGGTTGAAGTCGGGGGATTGTGGAGTCCAGGTCATCTGATGCAGCACTCCATCACTCTCCTTTTTGGTAAAATAGCCCTTACACAGCCTGGAGGTGTGTTGGGTCATTGTCCTGTTGAAAAACAAATGATAGTCCCACCAAACCAGATGGGATGGCGTATCGCTGCAGAAGGCTGTTGTAGCCATGCTGGTTAAGTGTGCCTTGAATTCTAAATAAATCACAGAAAGTGTCACCAGCAAAGCACCCCCACACCATAACACCTCCTCCTCCATGCTTTATGGTGGGAACTACACATGCGGAGATCATCCGTTCACCCACACCGCGTCTCACAAAGACACCGGTCTAATGTCCATTTCTCGTGTTTCTTGGCCCAAGCAGGTCTCTTCTTCTTATTGGTGTCCTTTAGCGTTGTGCCAGTAACCGAAAGGTTGCTGGTTCTAATCCCCGAGCCGACTAGGTGAAAAATCTGTCGATGTGCCCTTGAGCAAGGCACTTAACCCTAATTGATCCTGTAAGTCGCTCTGGATAAGAGCGTCTGCTAAATGACTAAAATGTAAAATGTAAAAATGTAGTAGTAGTTTCTTTGCAGCAATTCGACCATGAAGGCCTGATTCACACAGTCCCCTCTGAACAGTTGATGTTGAGATGTGTCTGTTACTTGAACTCTGTGAAGCATTTATTTGGGCTGCAATTTCTGAGGCTGGTAACTCTAATGAACTTATCCTCTGCAACAGAGGTAACTCTGGGTCTTCCATTCCTGTGGCGGTTCTCATGAGAGCCAGTTTCATCATAGCGCTTGATGGTTTCTGCGACTGCAATTGAAGAAACTTTCAAAGTTCTTGAAATGTTTCGTATTGACTGACCTTCATGTCTTAAAGTAATGATGGATTGTCGTTTCTCTTCGCTTATTTGAGCTGTTCTTGCCATAATATGGACTTGGTCTTTTACCAAATAGGGCTATCTTCTGTATACCCCCCCTAACTTGTCACAGCACAACTGATTGGCTCAAACGCATTAAGAAGGAAATAAATTCCACAAATTAACTGTTAAGGAGGCACACCTGTTAATTGAAATGCATTCCAGGTGACTACCTCATGAAGCTGGTTGAGAGAATGCCAAGAGTGTGCAAAGCTGTCATCAAGGCAAAGGGTGGCTATTTGAAGAATCTCAAATATAAAATATATATTTGATTTAACACTTTTTTGGTTACTACATGATTCCATATGTGTTATTTCATAGTTTTGATGTCTTCACTATTATTCTACAATGTAAAAAATTGTAAAAATAAAGAAAAACCCTTGAATGAGTAGGTGTGTCCAAACTTTTGACTGGTAGTGTATATCTGAAAGGGGTAGGGGGTAAAAATCATGGGGCAATTCCACAGTAACAGAATGCTGGAACTCAGATTTTTCACTTTAAAATGTATGCCAAACAAAAACCAATGACTGCAAAGTTAAACAAACCATACAAGTCATCCTTGTGCATAGAGTTGTATGGTTTGTTTAACTTTGTAATCATTGTTTTTTTTTGGCATAGTCTCAGAATCATTATTTTACAGTGGAATTGCCCCATGGTAAATTAAAACCCACATAAAGACCTAGTCATGATTCCTGTATTTTCACAGACCCTGTAACCAAAATACAGGTATCGGATCTGTGTGAATGGTTCTCTGCTTTTTTGTAGGTCAATTCATTAACACTTCCATTTTTTAAAGGCCCTGTGCAGTCCAAAATCATTTTTTCCTGTTTTTTGTATTACATTTACATTTTAGTCATTTAGCAGACGCTCTTATCCAGAGCGACTTACAGTTAGTGAGTGCATACATTATTTTTTATACTGGCCCCCCGTGGGAATCGAACCCAAAACCCTGCCGTTGCAAACGCCATGCTCTACCAACTGAGCTACATCCCTGCCGGCCATTCCCTCTCCTACCCTGGACAACGCTGGGCCAATTGTGCGCCGCCCCATGGGTCTCCCGGTCGCGGCCGGCTACGACAGAGCCTGGATACGAACCAGGATCTCTAGTGGCACAGCTAGCACTGCGATGCAGTGCCTTAGACCACTGCGCCACTGTATCATATTGTACAACAGCTGATGAAACTAACACTATAAAATAGTGTTTTTTTAAAATCTGTGTTATTTCCTGATAATTAATTGCTGGTTGAAAATACAATCTACACAGGACCTTCTAATCAGCAGGTTTGCATGGGCGGGGGTTTCGGCTTTCCATGGTGACATCTCCATGTGGTAAATTGGTTAATAGACCAATAACAAAGAGAGTTCCAAAGCTCTCTGCCATTAACAGCTAGTTTCCCCCTCCCCACTCAGACCACTCACAGACAGTCCTAGCTAAATCCTTGCTAGAGAAATCGTATTAAAAATAAAAAAATCTATTTCTGCCCATTTTACTGCAAATCAATTATAGATAAGGTTCTATCTGCAACTTCTTAATTAGAAATGTAAAGTTAAGAAAACTGTAGCTATTTGAATACATTAATGATAGAATAACACTATTTTACCAAGATAGTCAGAACACTATCAAATACATTAAGAAATGTATTATGATCATCAGCTGAATTACTGTCACTGAACAACGATGTGACAACAATTTACTTTAAGCTTTCTGACAGTGTTGTTTTTGCTTGAATGCCATTATTGCTGGCTTGACTAGCCTGCCGTAGACCATACATAGAGTGAGATGGCAAAGACGTGTTCTGATTGTTCCGTCTGTATTTGTTCAGGCTTGTGATTGGATTGCAGATAGGACCAAGTTCAAATTGGTTTATACAGATAGAACTTTCTAGTTTTTCATTTTTTTGACTTAAAGATGCACTATGCAGAAATCACTCCGCCATTTCCTGGTTGCTAAAATTCTAATAGTACTTCACAGATCAAATATATGTGACTAACTCATTTTTGACAAAAATGTCAGATAGAACCTTATAGTCCCAAGGTTTCGACTTGTCAAAACCTAAGCGAATGTGACTGATGAAATTTCAATCATACAGTAAAAGAAAAACGAAGTAAACCAACCAACCCACCGGGCCATGCCAGCGCAACCTGAGGCTCAAGCCCCTCCAGTAAGATCCTGCTGCTGCTGCAGAAGTGTCCATCTGTCTGAAGCTCGCCCTCCTCGTGGATGTCAATACCCAGACCATTGCCGTTTATGTCCTGGGAAAGCTTCAGCTCCCGGCCCAATGAGTCCAACTCTCTCCGGAACTCCGCATTGTTGCAGATCTGCTGCTGAAGGAAAGTCAGAAAGACCAGGGGAGTGCACTGAACATCCCCACAGTCCATCGCTGTTCTGCTACAGGGAAAAACATAAGCTAGCCATTGCAATTTCATCAGATATGAACTAGCTATAAAGTTGTCTATAAACGCATTTTTACCCAAGTATTTACTAGCTAGCTGAATGTTACCAGTAGGACAGTCAGCAAACTAAGTACTAAACCGGCAGAAGCTCGCTACTTTCCATTCAATGGAGTGCGAACAAAACATGTCTAGCTAGCTAACGTTAGATAGCTATTAAACGTAACTTTTGCCCGTGTTGATGCTAACAAATAGCAATAAACTCAATGCTAACATATTTGCTCTGTTCACTCACCGTGTAAAAACAGTAAATATATTGGGTGGTAAAGTTTAGCTTGCTTATTACAACTTGTAATAGCTAGCAACACAAGCTGATTGACACCGCCGAGTCTGCGTTGTTCTCCTTGCCTTCCAGACAACACACACGCAAGCGGTCAGTTTGGGGAAATTGGGGGTTCGGTTTGGTACGTTCCCCGCATTGGGCGGATTCGATTATGCTGAGTCGCGGGGTACCGGCTCTTGGCCGTGACATAAACGAGCAGAAGCGGTGAGGGAGGCGCGCCTTTCTCAAATCGAACAGTAATCTGCGCGGCTCGGTCATTTGTTAACAAGGCAGCATTGTGCATCATCCAGAAACATACATCTCTTTTCCATAAAATAAATGTTTGTATTTTCTATTTTTAATTGGGAAGGCAGATAAAGTGTTTTTATCAAACGCAATCACTTTTGCATGGGAAACCACAGAATCCTACTAATTACTACACGTGCTTAATTAAGTCACTTTTGTTTTGAGGCGACATCGCAGTGGGCTTTAAACCAGGCACCTGGCTCACGCCGGGAGGCCGCCCGGTTCTAAATCGAATGCCCTCAGTTTTCAGCGGACGCAAAACACGCCTACACCGGGGCCCAGGCGGGAGTAACGGAACTCCCTTATTGTAGCTACTGAAGTGTGTTGATGGTGTGCTATTTCTAGGAAGAGCCCAAGTAATTTCGAAGGATATGTCGCAATTTGTTTGTAGAATACTCCATTGAAATGGGCTACCTATTAAATAGGGCAAAACGTGATTGTGAACCATTCCAGCCCTGCTGATAATGCTTTCTGAATCCTAGACCAAATTGCATACAGGCCATCCTCAGATCAATAATACCAGGCTTTATTCAACAAGAATGTATATATGCATGCTGTAATATAAAGTTACAAATGACCTAAACACACGAAATAGCTGCTCCAAAAACAAGGACTTACAGTAGCATACAATACTTCTCCCATTTCATGACCTGCGCTGGCCAATTAACAAAACTGGATGTTAGTGAGAGGATGATGTAACCCAAGTTGTTTTGAATCTTCCATAAGCACACATGCACTCTGTGATATACTTGTGTGTGGGTTTCCCCTTTTAGCCCAGTGCTGTGACTGCAAGATAAGGAGGTAAAGTCATGCTAGGAGTCAGGACCAAACCTTTTCCTGAGCAAAATGTAACAAATTGAGCTCAATTGTACAATAAAGCAAAAACAATGTGTATGCAATTGCAAATATGGGAAAGTGTAATGAGTGAATGCTATATCCCTGCATTTAATGTTGAATGAAATTTGAGGTCAAATATAAAATACTGACCCCAAACAAGGGTTTTGGTCTAATCACATAGAGTTAACAATCTATGGTGGTTTACTGTCAGAGAGAAATTAACATTTGCATATATGAGTAATAACCATGCATGTGGCAACCCCTTGCAATAAAATCTGTCCTGCCACCAGTTATATTAGCGCAGTTCTGTACCAATAGATAAACTCAGTCTAATCCTCTGGAAAGTCCCACAGTTAATGTGGTTTCCGTAATTCCGATGCCCTGTGATAAACCATTCAAGTGTGACTTCATAGAAAAAGACACATGATGTAAAGCAGCTAAACTGCATTTGTTTCTAGTGTCCTTATGGTGAAATACTCTTTAGATGTTTTAGTGGTCTACACTTTCAAAGCAAGGCAAACATCTTACAAAGAACTCCAGCCTGAGGGCCATTTCATGACTTTAAAAGTTTATTTACATTGTAAAAAGCAACAAATCATTGCTGTTGATAAAACATTGCTCACTTGGCATTGCACTCACTGGTGTCTGCAGCAGTTCTCAATGGCCCAAATTATGGCACACTAAAACATACTCCACAGAAGTTAAACACTGATAAAAGGCAGAAGCACTACACAAGGAATTAATGGAGCTTTGCATCAAATCCTTCCCGCTTTGATATAAATTAGTCTAAAATACTGTGATTCAACTACACTGACACACAAAATAAACCACCACAGGCTCTTCTTGGTAACCTTTTACCTTGCTGCTCACCAACATACATTTAGCCAGTGTAAGAGGTCCCTTGAGTCAGGGGCAACACCAAGACTTTGCAGCGAGGAGAGTCAGTGTTCTGGTACTTCCAATAAGGCCCAGCATGTGATCACCTTTCACACTCCATACCCTGGGCAGCCGAAGCTCATGGACCGGGCAGCATTCCTACCGACCAGCCTCCGCCCAGCTTTGGGCAAGGACCCTGTATTAATGGGCTGCTGCAGCCCAGGGGGAAAGGCTTGCTGTGGGGACAGTGCTGCCAAACGAGCCTCCTGCAGCTCTCTGTGGAGGAATCGACAAGAGGGTGTTTACGTACATGGAATCATTCACTTACTTTAATAATACAATTTCAAAGCATAAATGATTACTTTAGTCTCTTTCATACTTTATGTACCCCAGCCTTATTGATCAATTAAATATATAACAATCAGCATGATTTGTGCCACAGGGGTGAAATGCATTTTTTTCTGTTTCATATTAAACTGCACCCCCTAGTGGAGAATTCTGTCCAGTTCAACCAACTTCTATGCAAATGACATCATCGCTCCCCTCACTTTTCCAGCATGGCTGTCCTGAACTTCTCCACGTTGAGCTCTCTGCGTAGTTGAGCAGCCAGGTTCCCAGTCCTCTCCTTCCTCAAAACAGGGTGTCTGCATAGAGCTGACGCAGAGGGTCGTTGAGATGGCTCCGGATCCAGCAGAGTCTGACAGAGACACAAAGAGAGCTTACTCCCAACAAGCTGCTAATATAGCAATGCCAAGAGATAAACCTTGGGACGACATTTGTTGTTATTTGTATATCTAGAATGAAAGGCAATCAGTGTGTTGACTTAGCTTTGTGTGGTACTGGTTAATATCTGTCCCTTCCTAAGCTGTGAATACCTTGTACCTCTGCACATTGATCTGGTACTCCCTGTACATAGCTCCATTCTTCTGTATTTTATTCCTTGCGTTAGGCCTTATTGTTTAACTATAAAATAGTAACTGAGGAGGTGTGGTATATGGCCAATATACCACGGCTATGGTGCCTGGATACTGCCCTTAGCCGTGGTATATTGGCCATAAACCACAAACCCCTGAGGTGCCTTATTGCTATTATAAACTGGTTACAAAAGTAATTAGAGCAGTAAAAACACATGTTTTGTCATACCCATGGTATACGGTCTGATATACCATGCTGTCAGCCAATCAACATTCAGGGCTCGAACCACCCAGTTTATAATATTATTTGTAAAACTCTGCATCATTGGGAAAGATTCGTAAGGAATTATTTCACTGTAAAGTCTACACCAGCTGCATTCGGCACATGCTAAACACAATTTGATTTGGAAAGTACAGAAAATATATCCAGCTGGCATTTCATAAGACCCTTCATTGAGCACATACAAATCATGCCAAGAAGTAAAAAACAAAAGATGGTGTAAAAGTAAGACAAAGGTATAAGAGTGCAGACATGACCAAAACAAGTACAGTTAAGTAAAGTATGAGTACATATGGTACCTGAATGAGGCTTCTGAAAGCAGGGGAGAGCTCCTGGGGCAGGCTGGGTAACTGTGCCTGTCTGAGACTGTGCCACTCATCTCCGTTCTGAGGGAGAGGGGGCGCCCCTGCTGCCAGCAGCACAGTCAGGCCTTGTGAAAATATGTCTGCCTTAGGCAGATTGCTGTAGTCCTGGACAGCAGGGAGAATCATGGGATAGAAGGTATACATTCAAACAAACAAAAGTAGTCTGAATAGATCCACAACTTTTACTGTACCTCATGCAGGACCTCGCTGGCGAGGAAGCGGCTGTCCCCCTCCTCTACTTGTGGGCTGTTGATGGATGTCACATGGCCCAGATCACCTGCGGAGACAAACAGAAATCACAGATGGTATGTCCATAATGCAGTGCAGAGTGCACCAAAGCTAGTAGAGAAAACATGAGTGGATATTAAGTGAAAAACAACAATTACCAATTTTATAAACTACCCCTGTTGAAGGGCCTCCGTCCTCTTCCTCCTCACTCTCACCCACTCCACCTGTGCTTGAGCATTGGCAGATGAAGATATTACCTACAAACAAGAGCGGGGTGAGAAACAGTGGAGGTGAGAAGCATACATTGATGTGAATAAGTAAAGAGAGAAGAGGAGACTCACTGGGTTTAATGTCCAGGTGCACAAGTCCAGAGCTGTGAATATACTTGAGACCCATGGAGACGTGAAGAAGTAGATCCCTCAACTCCGGCTCTTGAAACAGCTCTCCACGTGCCTCCTTCTCTACTATGGCATCGTGGAGACTCCCACCTGCATTGTTCACAACACAGTACATTGAGAAGCGCAAAGAAATTCATGACAAGTCTCATACATCAATCCAGACATTTTGCTGACCAACCCCCCCCCCCACGCCAATATTCAGTCATTTAGATTCAATTTTTATTTAGTCACATGCACAGGGTCGCAGATGTAGTTGCAGTGTACAGTGAAATACTTAAGCTCCGAGCTCCAACAGTGCAGGTGGGAATGAAACAAAAAATATATATCCACAGTCTACCATCACAATACTCGTTCTGTATGATCATGTGATCATCTTCAGCCCATGCTGAATAATAGCGGACGACATGGGGGTGATGTCCAAGTACAGCATGTGCATACACCTCCTTTAAGGCCAGCTGCCTGGGGACGAAAGGGGACATCATTACGTATTTTCAAACCACATCCATTACATACTGTAAATAATAAAGTAGAACATCTCAACGACCCTCTGCATTTGATTATCTGTAGATCAGGGGTGTCAAACTCATTCCATAGTGGGCCTAGTGTCTGCGGGTTTTTGGTTTTTCCTCTCAATTAAGACTTAGACAACCAGGTGAGGGGAGATCTTTACTAATTAGTGACCTTAAAATTCATCAATCAAGTACAAGGGAGGATAAAAACCCGCAGACACTCGGCCCTCCGTGGAATGAGTTTTTCACGTGCTGTAGATGATCTGTTTCCGATTCTCACACTGATCATAAGGCCCAGGCTATTCTTAAACAATGTGAGGCCGGTAGTGTTGACTCACTCATTGGCAGACCCTGCGAGTGGTCGGCGAGAGCGCTTGATGGCGTACAAGCAGCCGTCCAGCCTCTTCACACACTTGCACACCACTCCAAACTCCCCCGCACCGATGCGTCCAAGCTCCAGAAATTCACTCTCATACCTAGACAGCATGAAAGCCTGGACAGCCTGCCTCTGCACAGACAGATGGAGGACAAAACCAGGAAGTGGGAGAGTGAATGGCAGAGTATTAGGAGGGCCAGAGGAACAGTGGAAGGTGTCCAAAAGTGATGAGCTTAGTGACTAAATGCGCCGTAGACAGGCAGGGGAGAGAGAGAGCCAACTGTTCAACCAATGGACAAAAATAGTTTGTACCTTGGACGGGAGAAATGCTTCATCATCCTCCTCTGATGACGTATGGCTCGGTTTCATTCTAAAAGAGGAGATGACAATAACTTCACAAACCCACTCAGTCTCAGAACACTGTAGGTACTCAGATAGCACATGGTAGCAAGGCCATTAAACAAATCACCAAAACACAGAAAACAATCAAATTCACAATCACAACCCTTAGTTGGGTTACCTGAATCCATAGTCATCATTGTCTTCATCATCGTGGTCACTCCTCCGACTCTTCCTCTTGTAGTGCTCTCTGGTCCTGCGGAAAGTGTCGGGGGTGAAGGGGTTCACGTTGACAGAGGGCATGCGGCTGCACTGAGCAGGGTCAGTGGAAGTGGTGAAGCGCAGGGCCCTCTGACTGCGGCATATCTTGGTGCTAGAACTGGGCAGAGTCGACTTGGACAGCAGACTCTTGGGTTTAGAGGGATGTGGAGAAATAAATCCTTTTGACCTGTAAAAATGCACTGAATTCCAAGATTTTACATTGGTGGTAGCTACACATTGTAATGTAATATGTGATGATTTTTCCACCACTTGAAATAAGCATGATCACATGAATAACTTCAGATGAAAGAAATCAAGAAAGCAATCCATGAGGGCATGATCCTCTGTAGTAAGTTGATAGAGCATGGAGTTTGCAACGCCAGGATAGTGGGTTCGATTCCCGGGACTACCATACATAAAATGTATGCACACATGACTAAGTCGCTTTGGATAAAAGCATCTGCTAAATGGCATATATTATACATATGATAAATGTCTACACACCTTGGGAGTACTGGGGGAGTCACAGAGCCTCAGTTTCCTCCAGGCGGCATAGGGAATGGGGGTGGTCGGTGAAACTGGGATGGATGGGGATATGGTGATGCTCCTGGTGCGATGACGCTGCACTATGGGAGTCCTGCACACAGAGTTGGGACTTAGGATCTGAGGAGTTCTGGAGCTCCATTCATCCAAACTGCTGTCACTACCCTCCTCTTCTTCTCCACAGCTTGAGAAGTCCAAGTTTTGCACCGTCCAGTCACTTCCCATAGCCATCCCTGACTCAAGGAGTTCTAGAAGAGAGGCATTGATATTGAAGTGATTCTTCCATGATGTAACACCAAGGGATAGCCTAGTGCAAATGACTTGTTCCTTACCTTGAAACCAATATGGAGAAGAAGGCTGCTTCAAGGTAACACATTTATTTTAGAAAATTAGTTAAACTATCCTTTAACAGAAATGATCTAAAACACCTGACTCCCTTGTAGTTCTCACACGGTTACATGCATGGCCTACTAACAAATTAATGTTTGGGAATGGGAGACAGGCGCTTGGATCATACACAGTTCCAATAGTGCTACATTTATAATGTATTCCTTACTTTTAGATATTTTCCAATTGTTTGAAAGTTTGAATGAATACTCTTCTGAATTACTTACGATCAAGTTGCCAACCAGACCAACAGGCTTGAATTTCGCAGAGTATGTTAATAAGCAGATTCTATTTAAACTATTTAGATACGTCAGCTATCAAGTTGGCCTCTTTACTGCATCCTATTGGCTGAATGTAATGTCTGTCATAAATAAACACACCTTATTTTAAAGGTACAGTAGTATGAACATTTTGATCATAAACAATTTATTTTGTGATCCTAAATAATGCATATAATTACATAATGTATGTGTCCTATTAATGAACATATTTCTCAACAATTAAAACAATTTATGGACTCATCAACAACACAACTTCGGGCCAGCCTATCATTAGATTACAAATGTTACAAATGTAACATTCATGAAAAGCAAGGGAGCTTCATAAACACACTTTATCACAAATAACGGTATGTAAAATAGGTCACCTATCAAAATTGATCAATCCACGTGAGCGGAAGTGTGTGACATCATCACTAAAACACTGTGCGCTGGCGCTGGCAGAATACTATTTATCGGTGCATGTGACACGCTTACAAATAGCAAGAACACTGCAGGGAGGAGTGAAAAACATAATGGTCTGTTGAAGCAGTACCCTACTGACTTTATCTAGTGGAAATTATTTTTCTGCATAGTTTCGCGTTGTTCATCTCAATTTAGGAAGCACTATGGTCGAGCAGTCGGATCGCGCTCCACTGCTCAACTGGGAGGAGATTCAACCAACCGAACTGACCCAAGCGGTTCCCGCACCAGCAAAAGAAAATGGATCGGAATCAAATCCGCCAGACGGCCGCTCTCTGGGAAGTACTGCGCTTGCCATCGGGAGAAGCACCAGCTCTTGGGGTCCAGCAAGTGTAACAACGGTTCCCAGGGTGAACAGGATCCCCCACCTTGACCACTCTGGCCCGTGGGGTGTTCCCAGTCCCATCCATGCCGACTCTAGAATATCTCTGAAAGAACGAATGGGATGGGAGGAAAAGGACCAAATAGTGGCTGTGTTTGTGGTAACCTTTGACACAAGATCAGGTGAGCAAGAGCTATATAGTATGGGAGAGAGTGGTATTTACCTTACTGGGCACAGTGGGGGACTGACTCATTCCATGGAAGTGCGCACACACTGAAAGATGACGTTGCAAGAAATGCCTACTGTTCTTTACTTCCCACTAGCTTTGCTTATCTACGCTATTCAAATATGACCCAATATCTAAAGACCCAAAACAGTTGTGGCAAACATTTGTTGAGCAGTGAAAGCACAGTTTGTCAAATGATAATTTTCTTCTGCCATCATAAGGTTCAACAAACTCTCTTTAAATTGAGACCATGCACGGAATAGGGTAATGCAGTAACCTACTGTTGCATTCATTATAATTTGATAATTCAAACCCCCTTGTACAGCTTGGAAAATATTCTGGATGTCTCAGTGGTTATAGGGGCAGAGCGTGGGTTCCTTTGTTGTTACACAAAGGTCACTAAGAAGGGAAAGCTTTCTGAGAGTCCTGGGAAACCAGTGTTACTACTTACTCTCCTCAACTTCCCTTTTATGGTACGCTGAGTTTTATAGTAAGATATAATGTGGAAGGTAAAAAATGGGGACATAGTGGATGAATCTCATTCTCTCACAGTGAAGTGAACAGTATAGAAAATCAAGTGTATGTGTTTGTGTGTGTCAATGGCAGGTAACATGGTGGAATGGTGCTTACCCCAAGACGTGAATCTTGACGGAGTGGAATTCAAGTCAATGGCGAGCGGATCACACAGAATCGCCAACGACTTCATGTAAGACTATTCCCCCACCTGAATGAACAGTGTTACTGGCAGAGGACCATCAGAGCCCTACCAGTAATATGTACGATGTTGTATACATTCCCTACATTCATCCATGTCGGTTTCATTTTTGCAGATATTTCCGTAAAGGCTGCTACTTTGGGCTGGCTTGTTTTGCTAACATGCCTGTTGAGAGTGAATTGGAGAGAGGGGCGCGGATGAAATCTGTGGGTATTCTGTCTCCCTCTTACACCCTCCTATACCGCTACATGCACTTCCTCGAGAACCAGGTTAGGTAAGTACTTCTCTCTCTCTGTCTGTCTGTCTTTCTCTGTCTGTCTCTGTCCGTTGCTCTGGCTGTCAGTCTGTTAGGCTTGGGCGATACCCCGGTATACGGTATAAACGGTATATTTCGAAATACCGACGGTATCATTTTAAATACTGTAAAAAAAATAAATATATATATATATAACGGTCGCTATGCCACTGCTTCTAGCTATAAGTTAAGTATAACTATAACAAATCTAAGATGCCAAATAAATTATATCCAGCTCAGGGCTCCAGCTATGCATTTGGTTTGCTAACTTGCTAGCTAAGTGGCTAGATGTCAAGATCAAGCTTCTTGGTTACAGCAGAGCTATTCAATCCCCTCCTGGATCAAGATCCCTGTTGCCTAAATTGTTTTGTGTGTAAAAAATAAATAAAACATATTTATTATATACAGTACCAGTCAAAAGGTTGGACACACCTACTCATTCAAGGGTTTTTCTTTATTTGTACTATTTTCTACATTGTAGAATAATAGTGAAGACATCAAAACTATGAAATAACACATATGGAATCATGTAGTAACCAAAAAATCATATTGAATATGAACAGTAATAAAGTTTTCACATTTTGATGTCAACACAGTACAATTTTCAATCACTTACACAACAACGGTTCAATGCAGGTGTGCCAGATCCCTGTCACATAGTACAGTAAAAGCTGAGATGGTTCCAGCAGTACATATACTGCCTCCATTTTCTATTAGCCCTTTAATTTACAGACAAAAATTCCACTATGTTACCATGCCAGCTTTATACAAGTACCAGTCAGGCTTGGACACACCTACTCAATCAAGGGTTTTTCTTAATTTGTAAAAAAAAATTACATTGTAGAATAATAGTGAAGACATCAAAACTATTAAATAACACATATGGAATCATGTAGTAACCAAAACAGTGTTAAATCAAAATTTTATATTCAATAGCCTATGACAGCTTTAACTCTTGGCGGTCTTCAACATCTTCAGATGCCCCAGTTTGAAGATTCCACTATGCTTACACTTTGGTGCGCGTGTTAGAGCCCACGCGTGTAACTGTGCCACTAGATGGAATCGGTCTCCCAGCACCGCGACCGGGAGCTTGGGGGCGCAACATTGCCACGTGTCAGGGTAGGGAGAAATGGCCGTTGGATGTAGCCAGTGATAGAGCATGGGTTGACGCCGGTTGTGGGTTCATCCCAGGGGCCAGTTCTATAAAAAATAATAAACAGTTATTCAATACGAGTCGCTTGATAAGAGCGTCTGCTAATGACGTTAAATTTGTTGGATTATTTTCCTTCACTCTGCCGTCCGACTCTTCCCAAACCATCTCAATTGTGTTGAGGTCAGGGGATTGTGGAGGCCAGGTCATCTGATGCAGCACTCCATCACTCTCCTTCTTGGTAAATAGCCCTTACACAGCCTGGAGGTGTGTTTGGGTCCATTGTCCTGTTGAAAAACAAATGATAGTCCCCACTAAGCCCAAACCAGATGGGATGCCGTATCGCTGCCAGAATGCTGTGGTAGCCATGGCTGGTTTAAGTGTGCCTTGAATTCTAATAAAATCACACAGACATGTCACCAGCAAAGCACCCTCCACACCATAACACTTGCCTCACTCCATGCTTTACTGTTGGGAACTACACATGCGGAGATCATCCATTAACCCACACTGCATCTCACAATGACACAGCGGTGGAAACCAAAAAACAAAAATTTGATCCGACCAAAGGAACAACAGTTCAACCTGTCTAATGTCCATATGCTTGTGTTTCTTGGCCAGCAAGTCTTTCTTCTATGGTGTCCTTAGTAGTGGTTTCTTTTAAGCAATTTGACCATGAAGGCCTGATCACACAGTCCCCTCAGAACAGTGATGTTGAGAGTCTGTGACTTGAACTCTGTGAAGCTTTATTGGGCTTTTTGAGGTGGTAACTCTACTGAACTATCAACAGAGTAACTTGATCTTCCTTCTGTGGCGTCCTAAGAGCACATCATAGTGACTTGATGGAAACTTGAAGAAACTTAAACGTTTGAAATGTTCGTATGACTTCATTCTTAGAGGATTGGTTCTTTGCATATTTGAGTTCTGCAAAGGACTGGTCTTTACCAATGGGCTATTTCTGTATACCCCCTACTGCAACCAATGATGGCTCAACACATAGAAGAAGAAATTCCTTATTTTAAGAAGCACACTGTTAATGCTGCAATCCAGGGTGACTACTCATGAAGCTGGTTTTGAGAGAATGCCAAGAGTGTGCAAAGCTGTCATCAGGCAAGGGTTGGCTATTTGAAGAATCTCAATATAAAATATGTTTTGATTTGTTTAACACTTTTTTGGTTACGACATGATTCCATATGTGTTATTTCATAGTTTTGATGTCTTCACTATTATTCTACAATGTAAAAATAAAGAGAACTTTTTACTTGTAGTGTATATGTGTTTTTGAAATAGTGCCCTTTCTGTGCACATTTGGTAATACCGTATACCTCCGTATGGTACAGAAACGGTATGACGGTATGAAAATCTGATTACCGCCCAACCCTACTGTCTGTCTGTTGCTAGCTCTCACTGTCTGTGTCACTGTCTGTCCATCCTCTCTCTTTGTCACTCTCTTTCTTTTTCGTCCTGTTTCACATTCCTCCCCTTATTTCCTTCCTCTTGTCCTTCGTCTGTATTTTCAGTCTTCTCATCTATTAAACATAAGCCCTGAGTCAGTGCCACCACCATTACTAGAAGCCATTTATATCATATGAAGTCTTTGTATGTAATCATTGAAATGGAAGAAACCCAGACATTTTCCCTCAGTAACTCTTGTCTTTCTGCTTGAATCTTCAAATCTCATTGACTATGCATAAAGAAGTGACACATCCAGCTCATGGTAGAGATGTATGCTTGGGGGGTTAAGCTTGACTTTATACAGTACAGGTACTTATGTGTATCCATTTGAAGTACTACGCCACTTCCATCTCCCAGGGAGAGATTATCCCAGTTTTAATCCAATCAAACCATGCTGTGATGAGTCTTTGATAACAGTCTCTTTCTTACCAGTGTTATCATTGAGATGCCAACTGCAGTCAGCATATAAAATGTAAATGTAAGCATATAGAAAGTGTATAGTGTTTCTATTACATTGTGTCTCTCCATGCAGACACCAGCTGCAGTGCCCTGGCTCGTACTCTCCTCTGGAGGCCTTCTATGAGGATAAGAAAGCTGTGCTGCCCCCAGCAGGGAACGGCCTGGTCATTGCTTGTCCAACCAGTGCCTGGGTCCCAGCCATCAACCGCTGCATGCACCCAGAGATGAAGGTGAGCACCTACGGCCACCTGCCCCAGTCACTGATGTTACTGTGTGGTTGTTGTTTGTGTTAGTTGTGGATAATTGGAAATTCAATGTTTGGTTTAAGTGCGTTTTGTTCATTTTGAGATATGTGATAACTTGAGATACTGTATGTGCATGTAACTCAGACTTCCGATGTCAAGGAGAGATTTTGGGCAATAGTTTGTTTTTGGTCCATACTGAGCAAACTTATCCAGACTGGAAAAGCATTACCGTATCAGACAGCCTGACAGTCTGTTCTCTCTCTGCCCTCTCCAGATCACCCACCCGGCCGGCTGCATGTCCCAGTTCATCCACTTCTTTGGGGAGCAGATCATGGTACTGTGGAAGTTTGCCCTGCTCCGAAAACGCATCCTCATCTTCTCCCCACCACCTGTGGGTGTGGTGTGTTACAGGGGTGAGAGGGAGCAGCTGACACAAACACACAAACACACACACACACACACACACACACACAGTCACCTTTACAAACCCCCACATATTTGTTTTTCAGATTTTATTACAGTATTATGTCACTGAGTGCTCTCTGTCATTTTTCATGTTTCTCCGTACTCCCCACAGTGTACTGCTGTTGCTCTCTGGCCAACATCTCTATACCTGGGATAGGTGTGGCTGTGCCCAAGTTCCGCCCCTTCTTCTACATCAATGTGGCAGATATCGCTGCCCTGGCAACAGAGATGTCATACGTGGCCTGTGAGTGTTGACCTGGGGCTTTTGAACCCACAGTTAATACAGAACAAAAATATAAACGCACATATAAAGTGTTGGTCCCATGTTTCATGAGCTGAAATAAAATATCCCAGACATTTTCCATACACACAAAAAGCGTATTTCTCTCAAATTGTGTGCACAAATTTGTTTACATCCCTGTTAGTGAGCATTTCTCCTTTGCCAAGATAATCCATCCACCTGACAGATGTGGCATATCAAGAAGCTGATTAAACAGCATGATCATTACACAGGTGCACCTTGTGCAGGCGACAATAAAAGGTCATTCTGAAATGTGCAATTTTGTCACACAACACAATGCGTGGCCCCGTGTAGCTCAGTTGGTAGAGCATGGCGCTTGCAACGCCAGGGTTGTGGGTTCGATTCCCAAGGGGGGCCAGGGGGGCCAGTATGAAAATGTATGCACTCACTAACTGTAAGTCGCTCTGGATAAGAGCGTCTGCTAAATGACTAAAATGTAAAATGTATTACCACAGATGTCTCAAGTTTTGAGGGAGTGTGCAATTGGCATGCTGACTGCAGGAATGTCCACCAGAGCTGTAGCCAGATAATTTAATGTTAATTTCTCTACCAGAAGCTGCCTCCAACGTCGTTTTAGAGAATTTGTCAGTACGTCCAACCACGTGTATGGCGTCGTGTGGGCAAGCGGTTTGCTGATGTGAACACAGTACCCCATGGTGGGTTTACCGTGAAGAGATCCTGAGGCCCATTGTCGTGCCATTAATTCGCCCCCATCACCTTATGTTTCAGCATGATAATGCACGGCCCCATGTTGCAAGAATCTGTACACAATTCCTGGAAACTGAAAATGTCCCAGTTCTTCCATGGCCTGCATACTCACCAGACATGTCACCCATTGAACATGTTTGGTATGCTCTGGATCGACGTGTACGACAGCGTGTTCCAGTTCCTGCCAATATCCAGCAACTTTGCACAGCCATTGAAGAGGAGTGGGACAACATTCCACAATCAACAGCCTGATCAACTCTATGCTAAGGAGATGTCGCGCTGCATGAGGCAAATGGTGGTCACACCAGATAGTGACTGGTTTTCTGATCCACGCCCCTACTTTTTTTTTTTTAAGGTACACTACATGACCAAAAGTATGTGGATACCTGCTCGTCAAACATCTCATTGCAAAATCATGGGCATTAATATGGAGTTGGTCCCCCCTTTGCTGCTATAACAGTCTCCACTCTTCTGGGAATGCTTTCCACTAGATGTTGGACCAGCTCTTCCACACCGATCTCGACAATCCATTTCTGTATGGACCTCGTGTTGTGCATGGGGGCATTGTCATGCTGAAACAGGAAAGGTCCTTCTCCAAACTGTTGCCACAAAGTTGGAAGCACAGAATCGTCTAGAATGTCATTGTATGCTGTAGCATTAACATTTCCCTTCACTGGAACTAAGGGGTCTAGCCCAAACCATGAAAAACAGCCCCAGACCATTATTCCTCCTCCACCAAACTTTACAGTTGGCACTATGCATTGGGGCAGGTAACATTCTCCTGGCATCCGCCAAACCCAGATTTGTCCGTCGATTTGCCAGATGGTGAAGCGTGATTCATCACTCCAGAGAATGCATTTCCACTGCTTCAGAGTCCAATGGCGGCGAGCTTTACACCACTCCAGCCGATGCTTGGCACTGTGCATGGTGATCTTAGGCTTGTGTACGGCTGCTCATGAAGCTCCCAACGGACAGTTTTTGTGCTGATGTTGCTTCACACCAGTCTCAATGTCAAAAGTGAAGAGGCGACTCCGGGATGCTGACCTAGGCAGAGTTGCAAAGAAAAAGCCATATCTCAGACTGGCCAATAAAAATAAAATATTGAAATGGGAACGAGAACACAGACATTGGACTTTTTCTTTGCAACTCTGCCTAGGTCAGCATCCCGGAGTCGCCTCTTCACTGTTGACGTTGAGACTGGTGTTTTGCGGGTACTATTTAATGAAGCTGCCAGTTGAGGACCTGTTAGGCGTCTGTTTCTCAAACTAGACACTCTAATGTATTTGTCCTCTTGCTCAGTTGTGCACTGGGGCCTCCCACTCCTCTTTCTATTCTGGTTAGAGCCAGTTTGCGCTGTTCTGTGAAGGGAGTAGTACACAGCGTTGTACGAGATCTTCAGTTTCTTGGCAATTTCTCGCATGGAATAGCCTTCATTTCTCAGAACAAGAATAGACTGACGAGTTTCAGAAGAAAGTTATTTGTTTCTGGACATTTTGAGCCTGTAATTGAACCCACATTTGCTGATGCTCCAGATACTCAACTAGTCTCAAGGAGGCCCGTTTTATTGCTTCTTTAATCAGTACAACAGTTTTCAGCTGTTCTAACATAATTGCAAAAGGGTATTCTAATGATCAATTAGCCTTTTAAAATGATAAACTTGGATTAGCAAACACAACGTACCATTGGAACACAGGACTGATGGTTGCTGATAAGGGGCCTCTGTACGCCTATGTAGATATTCCATAAAAAATCAGCCGTTTCCAGCTACAATAGCCATTTACAACATTAACAATGTCTACACTGTATTTCTGATCAATTTGATGTTATTTTAATAGACAAAAGAAATTGCTTTTCTTTCAAAAACAAGGAAATGTCTAAGTGACCCCAAACTTTTGAAAGGTAGTGTACATTTGTGTATCTGTGACCAACAAATGCATATCTGTATTCCTAGTCATGTGAAATCCATAGATTAGGGCCTAATGAATTTATATGAAATCTTTGAAATGATTGCATGTTGCGTTTATATTTTGGTTCACTATACATTATGCTATGATTGATAAAGGTGTGTGTTTAGGTACCACAGAGAAGATCTTTGAGGAGAAGAAGGAGCTGTATGATGTATACGTTGACAACCAGAATGTGAAGACACACAGAGTTAGCCTGCAGCCACTACTCCGGCTGAATGGGGTGGACCGGGAGAAGTATAGGAAACTGAGCGAACAGAGGTACACAGAAACTGATAAATGGTGGCAGCCATTTTGAAGAGATGATGATGATGACAATGATGATGATTATGTTAATGTCTTTTCAGGCAAATGCTACTTTACACTCAGGAGGTGGATGGAGACTGCACATCAAATGAGGAGGACCTCTTTATCCTGTGAGTTTGTTTACATAACAGTAACAAGCTGTATCTTTTGGTTGGGCTCAGTCTGCAGTGTTTATCAAACTTTCTTACAGAATGTCCTCTGTTCTCTCCACTAGGTTTTTCATGGAGCAGAATAACCGTATCTTCCAGACTCTATCGGAGGTGGCGGCGAGTGCGGACCCCACCCTGACGGCAGAGCACATGAGGGCCATGGGGCTGGACCCTCAGGCAGACCGCACATTCCTGGTGGACCTGCTGGAGCTCTATGGCATTGATGCCATGCTGGTCATCGATAACCCCTGCTGCCCCTGAGCCCTGTGTGGCCTGACCTCCTCTCTCCTGCTCCCCTGAAGACACAGCCTCCTACTCTTCCTCCCCTGGCCTCCTGCCCAGTCAAACGCCTGCAGGTGTCTCTCGATCTCTCGCCCGGCTCCGGGATACAGCTGTCTTTGGCCAGTGTTAACTTAGAGACAGCTCACCTGGTCAATTGGGCCACGATGATAGACACTGCCTGGACTCTGCAGTTTCACATTCAACAGCCACTTGTCTTGTTTGTCTGTTCGCTTGGATCACTGCTTGGATCACCAGCCTTAGTCACTGGAAGTGGAAGTTCCGTTGAACCTTTGATCAATGTGCCTCGTTGTACTGCTCCCAATACTATGGAGCACTGCTGACTTTGACCAACAGCACCATGGAGCTACAGTAGGTATCCAGTTTGGGGATGGATAATTGATTGTTCCTCTCACTTGGAACCTTAACTCCAAATTCAGCCATGGCACCAAGCCCTTTTTTCTTACGTCTTTACAGAGGATTCTACCTAACCATGTATAGTGTAATACTAAATATTCACGTGATTGTCAGGGCTTTTATTTTATGGATTTCAATCCTTCTGCTGAATTACTTTACCATGATATTGTTTCCCAAACTTCTGCATCAGGTTTGCTGAGAGTAAAGATCACCTCGAGTGGTTTCACTCGGTTTTCCTCTTAAAAAAACAAATGATGCTGAAGTTAATCAACCTTTATTTTTCAGAATGAAAAAAGGAGCAATGTGAATATTTGTGTGTTTGACAAATTTCAATAATCAAGAAAGATTCACACATCAAGACTAGTTCACATGAATCTGCTTCACATAAACATGAAGACCTCTTTTGGTTCAAATAGGAATACTGTTTTTGTCAGCTAATCATACACATTAAAAGGGAAAGATGAGTCATCCAAGGAGGTATTTATTATGGAGCTAAGATATTTGTTAAATACTGTAACATTTCATTAGAGACTGCACCTGTTTGTCTGATTTGGTCCAATGCTGACACTTATATGGCAGACTCCGGTCACTTTTATATGGTTTACTTGTTCCACAGTCACATTGCACATGTGTATGGTGACTTCTGGATAATGTGTTGTGTGGTGTTTTATCAAGTTTTCTAATTAGACTTTTAAAATTGTGAACCTGGAAACTTAAATGAATGTGATTCTATGACACTAACTTATCATGAATGCTGCACCACACTGCAACCTCTGGACTCTTGTTTGATGACCACATGATTATGGGTAAACTTGTTTGTGCTCTGATTTAATGGACCAATGTTGTCAGCAGAGAAACTATTTATAAAAGTGAAGTCAGTGATGTAAATGTCTTGTCTGTCTCGGGCCAGCAGGAAGCTTTCTGTGTTGTGTACTTTAGTTTTTGTTTGATTCAAACTGTGCTGCCCGTTTATCAATGAGATTTGTTGCAGATTAAATTAAATCCACGGGTGGTCTGAGAGGGCAGATACAACTCCAGTGTTTCTTTCTTGTTGGAACTTGTCAGCTGCAGGTAGGAGATCGTTGTGCCACGTCAATGTAACAATGACTCCTTTGTATTCTTAGTTCTCTGGTGATGTCATGCTTGAGGTTCACAGAGGGATTTACCCCCCTCTCTGGGCAGACTGACAGAACCCGATATAAGATCCGTTTTTATTGTTATCTTTATAAGATTACATGGACGGGGACTTGATCCTAGATCACCATTCCTACTCTGAGACCCTTTTTGAAAACGGGCCCTGGAGATTACGTTATTTTGTTCAAATAGTCCTGGGAGACAGTTTTAAATCAATGTATGAAGCAGTCATCCAATAGATGTGAGCTCAATGACTCATCAAATATTTTAGATGAAGACAGCAAACTGATTTCATTGGGTTCGACTGGTCAGTAGATGTCGACAATAGTGGCACTGTTCATTGAGGTTTAGCTGGGGACAGTTCTGTCCGACAGTGTGGATTATAAAGCCTAATTAGTGGGTCATCTTTTAGTGTTGAGTGCAGGCACTCAATCAAGACCACAGGCTTATTATACCTGTCAACAGGAAGAGGCATAGAGGAAATGTTTTAGATTTTAAACACTTCCAACTACTGTATCAACATGTCAATTGACACTGACATTGGTGTTTGCTAATATGATTAAATGTACAGTTCTTCACACCCATGTTGACTTAGCCCCTTTACCCTTCTCTGTTTGTTTTGACCTGTCCCACCCTGTTCTTTTCAGCACATCCTGGGCATACGACTGTTTGTTTTACAGGTGTATCATGTAAATGTAGTAGAGAATGTACACGACACAAAAATAATGATAATAATAAAATGCCTTCTTTGTGGAAATTGTTCAGACCTGTACCAGCATTGGCTCATTTGAATTTATTTGTACAGTATGTCACCCCACTGAATGTCAATAGAAAGCCAAATCTGTATTACTTCAGCACTAATATGCTACAAGTACTTTAACAGCTAACCGTTAATCCTTGATCACAACTGTAATATAAACCTATACTTAAAACATTGACTAACTACACAGCTACAGTGGGGGAAAAAAGTATTTAGTCAGCCACCAATTGTGCAAGTTCTCCCACTTAAAAAGATGAGAGGCCTGTAATTTTCATCATAGGTACATGTCAACTATGACAGACAAAATGAGAATTTTTTCCAGAAAATCACATTGTAGGATTTATAATGAATTTATTTGCAAATTATAGTGGAAAATAAGTATTTGGTCAATAACAAAAGTTTCTCAATACTTTGTTATATACCCTTTGTTGGCAATGACACAGGTCAAACGTTTTCTGTAAGTCTTCACAAGGTTTTCACACACTGTTGCTGGTATTTTGGCCCATTCCTCCATGCAGATCTCCTCTAGAGCAGTGATGTTTTGGGGCTGTCGCTGGGCAACACAGACTTTCAACTCCCTCCAAAGATTTTCTATGGGGTTGAGATCTGGAGACTGGCTAGGCCACTCCAGGACCTTGAAATGCTTCTTACGAAGCCACTCCTTCGTTGCCCGGGCGGTGTGTTTGGGATCATTGTCATGCTGAAAGACCCAGCCACGTTTCATCTTCAATGCCCTTGCTGATGGAAGGAGGTTTTCACTCAAAATCTCACAATACATGGCCCCATTCATTCTTTCCTTTACACGGATCAGTCGTCCTGGTCCATTTGCAGAAAAACAGCCCCAAAGCATGATGTTTCCACCCCCATGCTTCACAGTAGGTATGTTGTTCTTTGGATGCAACTCAGCATTCTTTGTCCTCCAAACACGACGATTTGAGTTTTTACCAAAAAGTTCTATTTTGGTTTCATCTGACCATATGACATTCTCCCAATCCTCTTCTGGATCATCCAAATGCACTCTAGCAAACTTCAGACGGGCCTGGACATGTACTGGCTTAAGCAGGGGGACACGTCTGGCACTGCAGGATTTGAGTCCCTGGCGGCGTAGTGTGTTACTGATGGTAGGCTTTGTTACTTTGGTCCCAGCTCTCTGCAGGTCATTCACTAGGTTCCCCCGTGTGGTTCTGGGATTTTTGCTCACCGATCATTTTGACCCCACGGGGTGAGATCTTGCGTGGAGCCCCAGATCGAGGGAGATTATCAGTGGTCTTGTATGTCTTCCATTTCCTAATAATTGCTCCCACAGTTGATTTCTTCAAACCAAGCTGCTTACCTATTGCAGATTCAGTCTTCCCAGCCTGGTGCAAGTCTACAATTTTGTTTCTGGTGTCCTTTGACAGCTCTTTGGTCTTGGCCATAGTGGAGTTTGGAGTGTGACTCTTTGAGGTTGTGGACAGGTGTCTTTTATACTGATAACAAGTTCAATCAGGTGCCATTAATACAGGTAACGAGTGGGGGACAGAGGAGCCTCTTAAAGAAGAAGTTACAGGTCTGTGAGAGCCAGAAATTTTGCTTGTTTGTAGGTGACCAAATACTTATTTTCCACCATAATTTGCAAATAAATTCATAAAAAATCCTACAATGTGATTTTCTGGAAAGAAAATTCTCCATTTGTCTGTCATAGTTGACGTGTACCTATAATGAAAATTACAGGCCTCTCTCATCTTTTTAAGTGGGAGAACTTGCACAATTGGTGGCTGACTAAATACTTTTTTCCCCCACTGTACATCCAGAACCTGTACTACTGTAAAACAATGAGACTTTAGTGATGAATACACATTTAGTAACTTGATCGCATGAGCCACTGTTGTTTTCAAGCTGGTGACATTATACAGTACTGACTTTGTAAAACAATAAAACATGTTTTCTCTGATGCTTGATGGATTATATTTGTGATATAGTGTTGCCAAGGGAGAGTGATTCTCATACCAATGTATCTAATTTTAACATAGTACTGTACATGGAGGACAAAGTCTCTGCACATCTCTAAAGACTGTTTATTCCCATTGGTATTAAAAAGTGACAGAACTGTTGGCATCATAACTGAGTTATTGAATTATATTCTTATTACACATATTTAACAATACACATGACAATATACAGTAGTAAACCAGTCAGTTACACCAATAGTCCTGCCAGGCAGACTTCTATGAGCTAAAGGCTTTGGAAATAGCAACAAAATGCTTGGTCCTTGTTACTGCATCATATTGTCATCTTTCATAATTGTGAAAATATTCCAACTGAACATGTCAATGTACTTTAACAATGAGACCTCACTGTAGACTGGTCCACATTGGTCCAGCTGTGTGTTATGGCTGTTTAATGACATACTCCAGACATAAAAAAGCAGACACTCCCAGATACAGTAGAGGTAGAGTCCCAATACAGCCACTACTGGCCCCTTGCATTGACCCTCCTCCCTATTTCTCTGTGTCCTGCATATTGTTGTCACTGCAGCACTTCCCTCACTGGACCTGTGTGAGGAGCTGCTCTCTGCGTTCCGCGCTGCAGAAGAAGCGCAGTTTCCGTGGCAACAGCCTCACCTCCACCGGCATGGCCTCGTACTCCTCGTTGTCGATGTTGTAGAAGCCAGCACCTTCCTGTGGGAGAGGAAACGGGACAGGACAGTAGAGAGAGGTCATGGAGCAAAAGGAGTATCGCACGCATACTAAAATAAACCAATTTATACAAGAATAAGTGTAATTTATTTAAGGGTTATAATGATAAAAACCACAAGACCGTAATGCGTCTTGTCCAATGATGTATATAAACCCTGGATTGGTGATGCTATGTTTTGGCCATTGAGAGGCTTTGAAACCACCGGTCGGCCATATTGGCACTCCCCAGTAGGAATATGAATGAACGGAATTCTACAGTATTTAAATTAAATGTTTCAAGGCCAAAATGACATGTATTTAAGTATGTTTTGTTGTAGTGGGGACAGAAATTATAGTTTAAGGAATTTTTAAAAATATATTTGTTCATTTTTATGTTTAGCTGACATAATATAATTTAGAAGAATGCATTAAGGTGTCTGTAATATAATAAATTTGGCAAAAAACAAATGTAGACATTAATAAATGCATTTCTATAGCTTCCAAAATATTTTTCACAACGGTGGGGGAGTGCCAAGATGGAGGCACAGTGGTTCATTGGTCTTTTATCTGAAGTTTATAGGCCTAAAACAGATGAGGGAGTGTCTGACCTCGGGCAGATTGAGTCGACATGCACTGGCCTCCAGCTTCAGTGATTGTCTTGTGAATGCAGTTGAGTCCTGCGCTTTTTTCTCTCTGCAACACAGAAAATGCAACAGCCTTGACACATGCTACATGAATAACCATTCATTTATTTTATTCAGTTATTACACTAATAATGTGAGAAAGTATATCTCCACAACTTACCCAACAGTGATGAACTCTCCCACGGTGAAGGAGTCTGGCTCCACACACACCAGCAGGGAGTCATCAATACGCTGAAGGACAAACAAGAGAACAGGCAGTTTTAACATCCTGTCACTGTTGTTGTGGTAGCAACTATGTAAAAATAAAATATTATTATTATTATTATTATTATTATTATTATTATTATTAATACTGACCGTCTGGACAGGGTTTTTGTTCTGAGTATGGATTGACAGCTCCAAAGTAGACAACGTCCTCTCATCCCATCTCTCTGGCTCCTCCACTTTGGGAGGCTCTGCACAAACACATAACCAATGCCAGTCATGCGTTGTTAAATAGAAGATGCACAAGGACATTTAAAGGACGTAGCGTAGTGCTATGTACAGACAGACAAACAAACACTAACACAAATATAGTGTTACCTGGAATAGGTGGGTACCAGTAATTTTTCAGTCTGCGGGCAATGCGGTACATTAGGTTGGGGCGCTGGGGCATTTGTTCGGGCAGGTCAGGAGGGCGAAGGGTCGGGGCCAGGTAGGACACAGAGGCCTCGTGAACCTGGGGCCATTCCTGAGGGATGCAAGAAGACAGCATGACACAAATGCATGGCGGAACAATGGAGGTACATGGATATTAAATGGAAACAGTCATGTTTCTCACCCGTAATGTACTGAACCAATGAGCTGCTTTTGTCTTCAACGGGCCAAGGTACCAATATCTAAGATAGAAAGCACAGCAATATGAGAAATGTATTTTTAGAGAAGAAACATAACTTCATATTATTAGAATGTTATGCACGTAAAAGTATAATATGGGGGAAACGTGTTTACCATAAGCTCCGAAGTTTGACTAGTAATTGCTGGGTTCTTACTTTTTGATGGTGGAAGCCACATCTCTGAAGGCCCCCCACCGTAGACCAATCAGGGCAAACACTGGCTGTTCTTTCTCTCCCTGGATACAGAAAACCAGAAACACAATACCATTTTCTATCTTGCTCTCAATAGAGTTATGGTTATTCAATGGCAATTTAAGGTAATATCAGTTTGTGTCATCTTGACCCCTCCCTGAACCCCAGACCCTTCTGGTCTCACCTTGATTTGCAGCACATCCAGAGGTACCGTTTCTCCTTGCAGGATGGACAATGTCGCTGATGTGATGTGTCTGAAAACAAGACACAATATGGATGACAAAAAGATTGGAGGATATTTTAGGACACTAAGGAGAAGATGATGGCATGGGTTTTGTTTGTATCTGAATGAACAAGTGTGCCGTGTTTCAATGGGATACTTACTTCACCTGATTGTCACTGAGGATGTGCAGACTCTCACTCAGGGAATTGTGGGACCCCAGTGGGATAAATCCTATGGGGGTTTTACTGAATGACTCCTGGGTTTGAGAAACACCCATAAAACTGGGTAGTTAGAGACAGCTTAGCTAAAACGGTATTACACAATGCTTATAACATACAATTAGTAATACAAGGATAATACAACAGTCAATGCCACACAACTTACTTGATCAGCCCTCCGCAGCAAGCCAGTGATAACCTCCTGCAGAGTGCCATCCCCTCCAGCCACAATCAGCATGTCTGTTTTCTCCATCAGCTCCATCAATTTCTTCGCTTGGCCCTCATAGTCTGTCTGAAAGAAAGAAGACACATGTACAGTATTATACTATGTAGAACTATAGACTATAAGGCCTTAGATGCCATAGGGAAAACAAAATTGTAGGCCTACCTTTACTAGTGTCACATCCATACCAGCCAGGTGTAATATAGGGGCAGCATTCTTCTCAAATAAGTTGTTGGCTTTCCTATGATCAGAGGGAAGAGCAAGAGAACAGCAAGACAGATTAATCAAACACAAATGACAATAGAAATGGGAAATGGTGGTGGTGCAATAAGCTGGACCTCTTGCTTATTCTCTTTGTTTGACTTTAGGGAATGTGACTATTATCTCTTATTTACCCACTACAAGCTGCTGGGTTTAGGATGACTGTGGCTTTCTTCAACTGCTCCTGGGGTGATATCTGCTGACGTCCAAATTCCTGCAATTGAGAATGGAGTATTTTGCATTAGAGAAGAAAACAGTAAATGCAGGTGCAGAATCCTTGAACGCAGACACATATTGTACACAATAAGCCATGTCTCACCCTGGCCGCCAGACAAGCTTCTCTTCGCAGCAGATTATCACTGTGAACAAATAAATAACAATTTATTGACAAAGAAAACAACTGATTAAAAGACATCCTCCTGTTATTCAATATTGCTGGATTTCAAATCATAAGAGCCGTTCTGTAAGACCTTGATGGGTGATGATTTCTCAATGGCTACCAATTCGTGTGTACGTGCTCAATGATATTCATGCTAGTGATGATCTGTATGACTGTAAGTCGCTTTGGATAAAAGCGTCTGCTAAATGGCTTATTATTATTATTATTATTATTATTACTTGATTTAACAACCATACAGGTAATTCTGAAGGAAAACGTTACGCACCAGTGTTTACCATATAGCCAGTGTCCACCGTATGACAGGGCACACGCAGCGACTGTGGACTTCTTCCAATGATTCCGCAGAGTCACAAACACTTTCACAACCCGAGCCATTATCTTAACGACACTATCAAAAGATCCTTTTAAAAACGCTTTGTATCATCTGTGTAAGCATCACTCTTAAAGTCCTTTCCCTGTCAAAACCATTTCCCATTAACCACAAGGGTGCAGCTATCTTAATAGTCTTATGAAACAAACACTCTCAGTATTAGTTCCGGTTGAGTTTAATTAAACATGTTATAAAATAAGTTCTCCCGTAACATACTAACATAAACAAAAATAAGGGAAATGTACAAATTCCAATTGAAAATGGAAGACAACTTAAAGAAATAAGTAATCGTCATTAGCTCAGTGCTTAGTTTCTTGACGAAAAACTAAATTTCCCATACACCAGCTGGGGTCTATACAAAAAGAAGACCTCGCCTGAAGAGTAGTCTAAAATAAGTATATTGTATTACTTTGCCACTGCATTAAAAAAATATTAATAGTCACATTATATACTTAATAATATAATGGTCGGTGGACAGAAGAGATATGTAATCAAACAAGTTTTAAAAATGATAATATTGTATTTTTACTCTGGCGCTAAGCAGAGCCAATTCTCCAGAATTCAAGATCAACATGGCGGCGCAGATGGCGGTAAATTCAGGTATGGGCTTCATTTTTCTGTTATTTCAAATAATAGAGCAGTGAGAGATTGTTTATGGTTATTTACCAAACAATCACAATACATGTTTGTTTACAAGAGGTACTTTAACTGTATAGAACGCTGTGTCACGTTCAGACAGGAGGAGCGCTAGCTAGCTAACGTTAGCCAATCGCTATAATAACATGCGTGGGTACGTTTCATTTTCAAATTCGGTGAAATATAACTAAAGGTATTGATTGATATGAAGCAAACGTCCTACCAGTTCAATAACGTCTTATTAGCTAAATGGTGGTGTTAGCTTCAAGACGTCGCTCCCCAGGAAACAAATGTCTATAGGTAAACAACATGTCAAATGGCTAAACTCAAGTTAGCTAACTTGCTCATAATCTCTAAAATATGCTCAGAACACATTGTATGCGCTACACACATAACACTGACTGATTTACTTTACTTGTGTACCCCTATCAGGAGCCAATCTGTGGGGCCCGTAGAAGGAGCTATGGGGAAACAGTGGAGCTCAAGAAACACAAGCCCAATTTCCTCTCACTCTACAAGAACCTGGTGAGACACAAGCTTCAAGTACCATTCAGAAGAGTTTTAATTCTTCTGCAAACCAGAGTGTTGCTGAAGTTGATTTACTTGATGTTGTCTTTTTGTGTTTAGCCGAAAAGTGCAGAGCAGAGGGAGAAGGTGCGGAAAGCCAGCACAGAAGGAATTGCCATCCAGGGCCAGCAAGGGGCACGTCTCCTCCCTGAACAGCTGCTCACCGAGGCCTTCATCCTGAGTGACCTCTTTGACATCGGGGAGCTGGCAGCTCTGGAGCTGCTGCTGGCAGGTAATATATACACTACTGTTCAAAAGTTTGGAGTCATGTTATATGAATTATTTAACAAACTATTTCAGTGTCTCTGTGCGTCTCCCAAAATCAAGAAACGGACAGAGTCCCGGTCTGCGTAGTCAGAGATGTTTATTCATTGAGAATTCTGCCATCACAATTTCAGAGTCCATCTTTTATACTCACACGTCATACAAAAATCCCTCCCCTCACACATTCTAACACAGTTCACACAGTTTCAGGGTGTAATAATTAGTCATTAATAATTATTCTATCAGGTCACTTAGACATTTCCTTGTTTTCAAAAGAAAATATTTTTTCCCCCCCATTAAAATAACATCAAATTGATCAGAAATACAGTGTAGACATTGTTAATGTTGTAAATGGCTATTGTAGCTGGAAACGGCTGACTTTTAATGGAATATCTACATAGGCATTCAGTTTCTTGGCAATTTCTCGCATGAAATAGCCTTAATTTCTCAGAACAAGAATAGACTGACGAGTTTCAGAAGAAAGTTCTTTTTTTTCTGGCCATTTTGAGCCTGTAATCGAACCCACAATTGCTGATGCTCCAGATACTCAACTAGTCTCAAGAAGGCCAGTTTTATTGCTTCTTTAATCAGCACAAAAGTTTTCAGCTATGCTAACATAATTGCAAAAGGGTTTTCTAATGATCAATTAGCCTTTTAAAATGATAAACTTGGATTAGCATGGTCTAACTCTTACTCACATTGCTAAATAGTAGCTCAATGTCATAGTCTTTACTGGTCCTACACTCACACATTCTAACACATTTCACACAGTTTCAGGGTGTAATAATTAGTCATTAATAATTATTCTATCAATTCCCCCTTTGACTAAATATTACACACATACAAAATATATGTTGTTATAGAAATGAATCACACACATTGAAGCATATAAGTTGATTTGCATATAAAAACATTAAAAATTGTCTCATTCAATACAGGTTCATCAGGGTTACCCCATGATTAAAAGCGTAATGTTACTCTTTAGCAATGGTACCTAACCTGTTTACCCACTATCTGGAAACAACAGTCTAAGCCTATAGTGAAGAACATTTGCTTCATCACATCCTGCAACATCGGTTAACTAGTACATCATACTTAAAACATGACTTTAATACACAAAAGATCATTACAATAACTTTTAAACTAGAGATTTATAGTTCTAGGAAAACATCCAGTCTCAAACTATCTGAATCGTTGTCGCCTCCACCAAGCCTGGTGGGTTATATTCTTCATTCGGTTGGTTGGAGTCCGGGATTGGGCCTTATCTCACCATCTGCTGTGATACTGCATTCTCCAACGCCTTGCTCACCAACCCTCGGACACAGGGAGGGAATAAGACAACATCCACAAAGAACAAGTATACCCATAGAAGCTATAGCTGCACCCAGAATAGTTACAACAATAGTTTTCCATTTACTAAACATGTTATCAAACCAACCAGTCATTGATGTATTCACCCCCCAGTTCTCAGCCCATTCTTTACTTAATGCAGTGAGACCTGCCAGTGCTCTAGTTACTGTACCATCTGGGGCTGTATTATTGGGGATAAACATACAACAATGACCTCCCACCATCTTGCAAATCCGCCCTTCTCTGCTAAAAGCATTTCGAGAACCAAACTATTCTGCAGGTCATGAGTGAGGTGGCGGATAGTTGGCCTGAGATTCTCTTCACTGCATCCCTTGTCTAATTAACGAACCTTTTGTAGATGTAATTAATCCAGTCAACATTTTTATCAATTGTAACCCACCAGAAAAACGTTGTTGTAAACCCTTCTCCAATTTGATCTGTGATTCGCATTACTTTGGTGTCTATATAACATTGATAATCTCCGGGGTTCATGGTGAATTGGGGTGCCTTAGTATTATTGTTGAGACTTCTAGCTCACTCAGGAAAATAAAAAAGAGAAGAAAAAAAAAGAAAAATAGATAAAAGAGAAGCAAATGGGTCTGATGTGTTCAATTAAATGGGGAACGAGTGATTTCTTTAAGTTTCTTAGATGCTCGGATATGTTACGTTATGTGCGCATGCGCAGCTTCACTAGAGACTTAAATTATGGCACATGGTAATCATTTCACGGCAGACAATCATCAGGAGCACACAGCCCGTTGGTATGTAACTGCGAACTACTCACAGTCTAGCATTAATGTTTAAGTCACTTATATGTTTGAGCACTGAACGTTTACCTCACTGTGTCGGTGTTAGTTGGCCGAGAGTAACTTGTAGCTCGCTGGGTGCGGTAGCTCAGCGACCCAGATGCTGTATAGCATTAGGCTATCATTATCAGCCATTTGCGTTGTGCTGATTGTTCGGAGCACTCTGCTGGTTTCTGGTGGCGGTGGTGATAGCGGTGGTTTGGTTCGGTGATCCATGGTGGAGCACCGCGTTGTGTTGCGTTTGTGCGTGTGTGGGTCCTTTGGACGAGGCATGTGGTGGCATGGCTTCTGTGTCCTGTGGCAGCATCCGTGGCAACGGCGGAGTCGCTGTGCGCATGCTCCTCTGGCGCTAGGCATTCTGGGTGATGTAGTCAATGCTGTTTTAAGCCAGATTTGCCACATTTTTGATGGTGTTTTAGGCTTATTTGATTTTCATTATTTACATTATTATTATATTATTTGAATAATATTTACATTATATATTTGAATAATATATTGTCATTATTTGTTGTTTGTAATTCAGGTTTATGACCTGTGGTCATTTGATTTAAAATAAAATTAAGGACAAAACACGAGTCATGACATTGTGTGCTTCCTGGTGAGCCTTTTCGGAGGGCTGAATAACGAAAAAATCCGATCAATTATCCTTTTTAAGAGTAGTTATTTTAATATCAGAACAATTAAGTGAGGTTTGGTTTGATCCCAAATCTATCACACAAGAGAACATGGTTTGAGGAATAGGTGCAGTTAGAAGGGTTGGCCTACCTGTTGAACAGGCATAACAATTAGTTTGACCCAACACCCTAGCTGTGTGGTTCATCCACCTTACCCAGAAGTTCTCATTTGAAATTCCTTCTACTTCTCCTTGGTTCATTTCCTGCAAGAGGAAATATTCTACCCTTGGTGGTTTAGTGCTATTTAGGATTCCTTCTGAGGGCCTTCCAAGGGGTATTGATACCTCTGGTGATAACATTGGATCTACCTGCTGATCTGTTTCGGAGGTGGAAGATTCATTTCTCTCCTGAAAAATGAACTTCAGACATATCTGCCCCGAAATCATCAACACAGGCCCAATAGTTCCTTGCTATGTCATCTTGCATAATTGACTTTACCGTTATCACCAGTTCCGTTTTACATTTATCATGGGTTTGTTTAATTCCCCATCGGTGTACTGCGTCCATTCCATTCTCATAGTATGTTCCCCAGGTATGTTTAAACACCCTTGCCCAAGGACATGAGCGTTCCCCAGTGCAAATGTATTTACCATACCTTCTAGGACCTAACTTTCTTGTACACGCCTCCTTCTTACCAAAGCCCCTAAAACCTATCTCTTCATGGGAGAAGTCGAATGGTATCTTGAATCCCCCATCTTGTCCTAAACTGACTTTAACTATTAAAATAATCATTCCCCCAATAGTCTTTCTTGGTTTCAGTATTTCTACGAGATCGAATCAGTGCCTTGGTATTATTTTGTTCATCATT